TCGGTCATCACTAGCACACGAGTTGAGGTTTACAACCTATCGTGTTGACAATATTTTGATTCTGTGTTGTTCCAATTGAGTTAATTATGCATGTGAGTCCTATGAGTTCTCATTTTGAATGCATAAAAGTCGAGGCACCTTGATCAATGAAAGGTACATTGATAGGAAAAAGGTGAGATGCTTAACTACTTGGAAGACGTGGTGGGCAGCTGTGCTACCATAAGGCAAGAAATCAAGATTAAGAAAGTTCGGTCCATATGAGTTTGAATTTGTCATAAACTTTGTTTTTAACAAATTCACATGGATAGGAACATATACACCATTAAAATCTAAGTTTCATAAGATTTCCTCCTTCATGAAAATGATTGTGAGGAAATGCTTTCACTAAGAAAGATTTTAAGAAGATAGTGATTGTAAAGTTGCATTCTCGAATTCAATTATGGTTACGGTATCCCATTCCATGATTTGAATTGTGAGGTTTGGCAATTAGTCTTAATAGTTTAGACACACATATGAACTATCTAAAGCAAAGGTGTATAAGCTTAAGAGGCCTTGATAAAAGATTATTAAAGCATTAAGTATTAGAAACATGGACTTAAGAAATTCAATAGGTATTGTTTTCTGAAAGTTAAGATGTTTGTGAATACATGTCGAAGCTAGTGGGAGCATAAGTGTTATGTTTTATAATAATCATCATGATAGTAGGAGCATAAATGTTATGATTGTATGATTATTAAGGTACGTATTGCAAGTTGGCAATATTAATTATAGAAAACAAGAGTTATACCTTGCAAAGTTGTAAAGGTTGTAAAGTTGTTTTGCTATAATTAAGGGAGAGAATATTATGCTTTATTTCAAATCTAAAGGCTTAGGTTGAGAAATGTTAATAAATTTAGTCAAAGGTACATAGTGTGCTCTTAAAATTTCGATTATGGTTACGGAATTCCTTTTCACAATTCGAATTTTGAGAACATAGCAAATAAAACATTGTGCATTGTGTCCCATACGCTTCGGGTATACGTTCGATTGAAAATGCTTTAATGTTTGACCATTCTAAAATTTTCCAAATGTCTAGCGCATTTAGAGGGAAAAGGGACTAGAATTGGTTTTGACCAAAATAATTAAACAACTATCAAAGGACAATCCAAAGTTCGACGAGGATTGGTTTCTTGTGAGTAGTTGGAAGCATGGTATTGGATGGACCATATTGACATTATTATGAATAGATAAGATTCTATTAAGAATGATTTGTCATATGGAAAATATGGAAGCGTGTCCATATTAGGAATTGAATATTGAAAATCTATGACTAGATTAGAAACTTTTATGCAAAAGGATGTTTAAAGGAATGCACTTTGAGTGAGAGACATCATATCTAAGGAATTGTCTTGTAACAATCTCCGTTAGAGGACTTTGTAATGTCATTGGCAATAGTCTTTGTGGCTTTGGTACAGTGACATTACGAAAGAATCATTGCATAAAATGTTAGAATCTAGCATATTCTATAAGTGGCAAGAATTTGATATTCTTAAACTTATGAAAAACAGATTTGGAGTTGTGAAATGAGAATGATTGGAAATGTGTCCAATGTGATCTATTTCACAAAGTAAGAACCATAGGTAAATATTGTGTGCATGCTAGGAGCATGGGACAAGTGTAATAATTCAAGTAAGAAGTTGATTACCCGAAACGACAAATAATGAGTAATCGATATGGTGATAAATAAAAGGTGTTTTATTTATGCTCAAAGGGTTGAGGCCATATGGGATTAGTATTATTCTTGTGTTTCACTTTGCATGTTTTAACTTCCAGAATAATTGAGTTTATTAAGAATAATCGAATTATTCAAACGGGCCACAATCGTTCATATGTTGGAAGTAGATATGAATGAAGACTGTCGTGAATTGGTGTGTTGATTGTCTAAAAGAGTATTAAACATAAGAAAATGTTTGCTGCAACATTCATGAGTGCTTATGAATATGAATTTGAGCATTGGATTAAACCCACGCTCGCTTGGATCACTCCATGAATTGTATCACGAGTGATTGGTGAGACGATAACATCTTATATTCTTGAAACCGAGATGTGTGAGTTGTATCTTTCAAATCAGTTGCACATTGATAATATGTAAACGCACTAGTAACTTGGTGTTATAAAACATATTGTTGTGTGTGATTTGGTTAGTAAGTGCAAGCAAGCATTGTATCAAAGTTTATCCATTCCTTTTATCCAAAGAAGGATAAAAACGATATCTTTTGGGCCCCTCGATGGTTTAGTGATGGCAAACGTAAATGCTCGGCCGGGCTAGGACTAATTTGATTTGTTCAATTAGTCAGTCGTCATAAATCGGGAATCGAGAAATAGTACAAAGAGAATGATTAGAAATCATATCTCATACGATATCTAGAATGGAGGAATATATGATCCCTTATCTAAGGACACGCGTATCTGATAGGATCAGAGTTTACAATGGCTTTGGAAAGCTACGATTGCAAATCAGGATCTGAAGTCATACGCATGATAGTTATTACACTTATCCAAGTGGGAGACTGTTGGATTGGTGTCTAAGTCCATAACTATTTTGGTATGTACTTCACCCGATGGTGCATGGTCCTTTTAGGTTGCCTTCACCAAAGCAACTTGATTGGAGAAATAAATAAAGAGAGAAAGGTTATTATGATTTATTAATATGTTATAAGAATAATATATTAAAGGAGAAATCATATTTGTTTAATTAATATTGGTCAATAATTGATTAGGAATTAATTTTGTGATCAAGTGTAATTAATTAAACTAGAGGGGCTGATTTGTAATTATGTGATAGTTACAAAATAAGGTAAGGATTATCTTAAATATAGGGTGAACGAATTTAGGGAGATAATGCCTTAGAATTCGACTAGGATAAGGGTTTCAAGACTTATCTTATGGTTACTTGGTGGGCAAGCAACTAGATAGGGATAAGGATTAAATCCTTAATCTTTACACCTATATAAACCCCTTAAGGCTCATGAATTCGTCTAAGCCTTCCCAAGAAGTCCTAAGGATGAATTCCTACCTCTCTCCTCTCTCTCTCTATACCTTCTCCATTTGCTCTTGGTGTTTGTAAGCCATTATAGGAGTGACACTTGTGACTCTAAGCATTCCAAAGTCAATTCAAGGAGGAATTAGGATTGTTATTGCTACATAATAATCAAGGTAACATCTTAAACCTAATTATATGTTAATATCGATTTCCATATGCTAGAATTAGGGTTTATAGTCTTGGATTCAAAGCATGTACAATAGAGAAACCTAGATCCAAGCATTAGGGTTTGTATGAGCACATAGGATGTCTTATGACCAAAACCCATCACTAATAGGTGTTATGTTGCTTTGACACTACAAAGGTCTAAGATATGGACTTTGAATAGTATTATTCAGATGCGAACTCGTCTTCGTGACCGTCAGATTGATTTTCACTCACTATGTTCAATTTAGGTGGGTGATAGGGCTTCTACTTGTTAGATTTTTAGGATGTAAAAGCACTTGGAATTCTAAGAATCGTGATTAACACTTTCAAAATGAAGTATTTCAGCGGTACTCCAAAAATTTTAATTGGATAAGACTTAGAAATTGAGAGACAAGAACATAGAATGTTTGCTGGTTTGATTTTCATTTGTTGTATCATAAAATGATTACCAAAATTGATTATGTACCTCCCTATTCTGAAAATTGTCACAAAACATTTTTCTATGTTCTAAACTATCCAAAACCACCACATGACCATTTTTGAACAGCTAGACCCTAAGGGCTCTACCCCTTGGACTCCACTAGGGGCTGCCGCCCCTTGGACCCTACTTCAGGGGTGCTTCCCCTGGACCCCCTTCGATTAAAGGGCTTCACCCGTAAATAGCAAAATACTTTCAATCTTTAACAAACTCAAATAAGTGTATACTCCGCACCATCCTTACTTGTTCAATTTTTATTAAGATTGCTTTTGGTCTAAAAAATTAATCCTATTACACTTAAAAAATATTGGTGAAAAGAAATCAGTAACACTACTTCATTTTTGCAGGATGTTTAGAAGGGAAATTTTCCTCTTGCAGTGCCGTTTCACTTGATTTTTTGTTAGATAATAATATGTATGCTTATGTCAGAGATCAGATGTGTTTTTCCTGGGGTGAGGAGAATTACACGTGTTTGCCTAGGGGTGGTATTGAGTAGACTTAGTGGGTCGATTTCATGGTTTTAATACAGAATCTTAAGTTGAAGACCAAACCAAATAGATTGGGGTGGCTTTATGATGCGTCATACACTTTTACTGACTAATTCTCTTCTTGAAAGTAGTTTCCTTTTAGTAGGAGGAATGGTGACTAAATGAAATAATAGGGTTCTTATTAAACTTTGTACTCTTATTTGGAGGTTGACATTGCAGAGTGTTGCCACTCAAGAGAGATTATCATATAGAGGTATTGAGGAGGAGTTGATCATTCGCCCTGTCTGTGGAGACTATAAATCATCTATTTTCTTGTTGTATTGATTTGTGTGTGTTTGGGGGGGGGGGGGAGGGGGAGTGGGGGGTGATAAGCTAATATACTCCTAAATTAACATCTATGTCCAACGACCTTTTGACCTATATTACTATTTGGTGGGATGTGCATCTTCCAGATCAGATTTCTGTTTGGTCCTTTCTTTCTTTGGAGGACGTTGTTTCGTTGAGGGGAGGTCAATGAAAAGCTTTTGATGCTGTGGTTTTGACTAGTTTTTTGTGTTTTTGGAATTTTCGTAATTCCACTCTTTTTGGAACTATTATGGACTAATACCATAAAAGTCCTATATTTTTGCCACTAAATTGGAGAAACCCTTATTTTTAAATTTTTGTTTACTATAGACACGATATTTTCGTGGAATTATCACTTGAGAGCTAATACCTGATGACGAGCAGGTAACCTATTCTATCCGGTCACCACTAACCTTCCCTATCCATCACCTTTCACAAACCATCAATAATAAAAGGTTTCATGCATTCGAGAAGGGTTTCACAGTGCCTAATTTTGCAATTTGAAGCTCTGATATCGCTGGTGAAGTATGGTGGAGTAGAAAGGTATGTGTATGGAAACAAGAAATTGATGATTATGAGGGTGGTTATCTTCATCTATGGAGTATGGAGTTCCAGGTTTGAATTAACAAGTTGTTTTTTTGTATGAAACATATGGCTTCTACTTCTGGAACTAAGAAGCCTATATGGCCTAAGCTCCTAAAGAAGACATACCTTCCAGACTCTGAATCCAAGGATGATGCATTTGACTTTAGCTTCTTGGAGTTTTAAGAAGAAACTTTCAAAGCCCCCTCAAAACTATGTGATGATCCTTATCTTAAATTATTGTGTGATGAAAACATATTAAGGAGGAGTATTGATGGAATGGTAGATGACAAAGACATTCCTGGTGGCCAACAAAATGAGCAAGCCCACTTAGATGAGGACGATGAAGATGTTGGTGTGGAGTATAGGGTGCATGATCCCAATGTTGATTGGAGAGAGATGATGCCTCGATTAGGAGACTATTGTGAATCAACCGATCAACTCAGGTTTGCTTTAACTAACTATGCAATCCATGGAGGATGCCAACTTTATTTTGAAAAAAGTGATAGAGTGATGGTTATATCTTAGTGTGGTAGTGGAAGCAGTGCCAATTAAAAAATGTAGTGTCCAATTAGAGTTGCTGCTGGATAGAAGTACAATGAAAGGACATTCCAGATTAAATTATGTAATGAAATTCATATGTGTGCTAGGAATTATCACTTTGGTTCCATAGTTACTAGCAATTGGTTAGCTAAACACTACCTGAAAGATGCAATCATAAAGCCCAAGATTACATTGCTAGAGATGCAAGAAGATGTCCTACAAAGGTTTTTAGTGAGTGTATCTATTAGGCAATGCCAATGAGCAAGGGCAATGCCAATAGGGATGATAGAAGGGCAGTTAGAAGACCACTATGCTAGGGTTTGGGATTATGCAACTGCAATTAGGTTGAGTAATCTGGATACAACTTTCTTGGTTGGGGTAGAAAGTAATCTAGGGTGTAACTATTTAAAGAGTCTGTATGTTGGGTTTAAGGATTTCAGAGGATGTAGAAGGGTAATAGGACTAGATGGTAGTTTCTTAATGGGGCAAGTAAAGGGGGAGATTTTAACTTCTATTGGGAGGGATTCAAACAACCATGTCTACCTAATAGCATGTGCAGTTGTGAATGTTGAGAATATGGACAATTGGACCTGGTTTATTGAGAATTTGGTTGCTGATTTGGATCTTGGTGCTGGAAATGGATTGGTTATTATCTTAGACCAACAGAAGGTACCAACAACATATATTAGTATACAATATATATTTCTATGTAACATTCATTAATTTTTACATGTGTTGTGTTTGTCTGTTAATTATAAGGACTTCTACAGGCTGTATCGGACCTACTCCCCCATGTTGAGCACATACAATATGCTAGACACATCTTTGCAAACTTTAGGAAGAAATTCCCAGGATTGGAGCTAAAGAATTTTTTCTAGGAAGCTGCTATGAGTATAGTGGAAGGGGACTTTCTTGCTACAATGGAGAAGATAAAAAAACAAGATACACCTATCTTACTGCAAGGAAACTTGAAACCTGGTGATAGGCCTTCTTTTCTTATGGTTATGCTTGTGAAGCAGTAGAGAATAGGGTCGCAGAATGTTTTAATGGATTGATCAAAGAAATAAGGAAGAAGCCTCTACTTACAATGCTTGAGGAAATAAGGATTCTCCTTATGAAAAGGTTTTATCATCAAGGTCAAGAGGTAGCAAAATGGAGGGGTAATTGTAGGCCTAACATACAATTGAAGATTGATGAATTTGGGAAAGATATGATGTAATGTTAGTTTTTATGGGCATGTATCCAAATTGTATTATGTATTTATTGTTTATGTGTGTAATTTGTTTGTTTTGTGTGTAGGTTGTGGACATTGGTGCCAAGTGGTGGTGATGTGTTTGAGACAAGGTATGGCTATAATGGATACAAGGTTGATTTAGCAACTTACACTTGCACCTACAACTTGTGGATGTTGTCTGGCATACCATGTGTACATATTCAGGTTGTAATCAACTATATCCAAAAGATCCAATTCAATTCCTTTTTTCTTGTTTCCACAAGGATAAATATGTTGCAACATATAGTCAGAACATACAACTTGTAGGTGGAAGCAACATGTAGCCAAGGGCTGATTTTATTAAACCATTACCACCCCTAGTTAGAAGGATGCATGGAAGACCCAAACTAAAGAGAGTGAAGCATGCATCTAAATCACAAAATGCCAAATACCCCTCATAAAGGTTAAAGGTTCCTAGGACTGTGAGGTGTGGAAAGTGCCAACAACTTGGACATAATAAGATTTCATGCACAAATAATGAGGTACCTAAGCCCCTATCCTAAAATGGAAGATTGGAAGACCTAGGAAAGATGGAGGAGGCTAACCTGTCTTTGACCAATTCGTCCAGTTGGGCCTGCTATACTAAGAAGGGATGCTGCTCATCCCCCTGTTTCAAAATCTGGCGATCAAGATGGTGGTCATGCTATTACTCCTATGAAAAGGACCAAGATGATGGCAAGGAGAGGAGGGAAAACTAAAGTTTTCGGATCAAGGAACAAAACACCAAAGAAAACACCTAATGGTAAGCAACATAAGAGTCAAGCAAAAGATGATGTGTCCCTAACATGTGATGAGGATTTTAATGATCTTTTCACCCATACACCTAATGGTACACAACCTATGAGTCAAGAAAATTAGGATGTTTAGGAACAAGATAATAACAATGAGGTGAAAGTGAAGGAAATAGTATCTTTAAAGGAGTTGCTGCAGTCAGGATACACAAATGCTGATGCAGTGGCTGCTATGAAAGAGGTATGTTGTATGTTTATGGAGAAGTTGAGGAAACAGATGGGGATGAAAGAGATGTTCAGGAAAGAGAGACTGAAGAAAGAAGAAGAAGAAGTTGAAGAGAGAGAAAGAGAAAGGTTAAGGAAGAATATGTTGAAGGTAGAGAGGTTGCAGAAGAAGAAGTTGAAGAGAGATAGGTTGGAGTAAGAGTGATACCATTAGGTCCTAGTTCTTACAATATCTATTAGGAGAAAAAAGGACTCCCTCTGAAAGAATTAGGAAACTGAAGCTCAGGAAAATGGTCCAAGATGCTGATAGTGGTGGTTCTTCCAAACCCCTTGGGTTGTAGATTGAGAAGTTGTGTTTAAGGGTTGAATGGCTAGAATGTGCATTAGTAAATATGTTGCCCTTTTTGTAAACATCTACTTTTGGTACACTTATCTTTTGGTCACAAGCTTCCAATTCCTTTTTATAATGTTTGGTAGAATTTGAAGTTTGGTTCTAATTAAGTTACATGGTATGGTAGTGGTTTGTAGGAAGCTTTGTAAAGTACATTCCCCTTTTTAGGCTGTTAACTGACATTGATATTTGGGAAGCTTTGTAAACAACATGCTATGATTGTTAAGTTATCAATATATGTGCCTTGATCACTATAATTGTTGTTACCTTCCATGTTTTGGTTAGTTTGGTAAGTAGGTTGCTATTAAAATTTCAAGATTTGGTCATTTTTATACATATGTATGTGTTAAAGGACATAATACATTGTTACCATTAAGACATAATAAATTGTTATCATTGTCATCTCTTACAACACCAAAATATTACCATACATAACACATGCATAAACTTATTGTCTAACTTGAACAAAATACCCTTACACCTAAACTACTACTACCATTCCACTTGAACCTAACTAATGCCTACAACTTCACAGTGCTTTAACCACAACATTGTGAACCATAAACCCCATCACAATCACCACCACCAAAATCATGACCATCATAAGTAGCACCACCTTCAACATGTTTAAAATATCCACTTGAACTACTTCTTTGTTCTTAGCCTCCTCCGAAAGCTTCAAAATATCCATTTCAAATGCTTTATTGTTCTTAGTTCCTCCAAATCTACATGGAACTTCCACATAGTTTCCTTGTAAAAAGTGTTTGGCAGTGGTGGATCAAGACATAAAAAAAATTGCATTTTTTTTTAGTCCTACACAACAACCACTTATTCATACTGGATCAACAAGGCCACAAAAGAAGTAGGAAACTTGATATTACCTGATAGTTTGGACACCCCTAAATTTCCTCCATGAATTATAGATAATTTTGGAGATCGAGAATGTCACAGGTTCATCACACTCGCATCTCAAATCTTCAGACCAACGATTCCTTAAAGCCCATTCTCTATACCATTGTGTGTGCGTGTTGGAGGAGCTTACAATCTTGCAGGATTGATGTTGGAGAGAAGAATGGAACAAAACCTAGCTAACAACTAGCTCGAACATTCGTCTAACCTTTGTAACCTGCTGAAACCGGTGAATACAACATTTTTCCATTTTTCCATAATTCCACGAAAATATCGTGTCCACAATCAATGAGAAGTAAATTCAGGGCTTTTCTCAATTTAGTGTAAAAAACATGAGACTTTAGTGATATTAGTCCAACTATTATCATTAATAGGGTGAATTTTTGGATTTTCAAAAGGTATAGTAAATCTAAGATTGGTTAGAATGCATGGCTTCACAATCCTTATTTAGCTTATATTTGTTTCTAGTTTCTTGTTAGTTTTTTATAATACCCATTTAAAAAAAAATAACATATCAGTTCATTATAAAAATTTCAACGCAGTATTCTCTAAATTTCTTTCCCACTTCATCCGTATAGCAGACGTTTGGGTTTGGTTAAGGTTGGGAACAAAAACCAAATGAGATTATTTGGCGAAAGATAAGTAGTTGACATTGATGTTGTTAATGACTGTACACGAACCCTGGTCCAACCAAGCAACCGCAAATGGCGGCTCTGAAAATTACATCAAGACTAACTTACAAAAATCCTCTCTAAACTCTTGATCGTTATACGATTTGTTCAGAACTCAAGAATCCTACAACTTAATCCCATTTCCGTTAAATTTAACGGGATTATGTGAAAAAGATCATGTGCATAACTCATGATTGTGTACTAGTATCATTTCCTTGATCTTTCTATCATATTTTGTCGAAGCATCCCCTTAACTCAATTCATAAAGTCATATGGTCACAGATAATGATTTAATGGTTAATGAACCCAAAACTTTGAAGAGTTTTCTGAATATTTTCCTATTTTTTATAAATTAAAAGTTATACATATCAAAACTTTTATAAATTTTATTAATTGGATTAGTTGTATTAGAGTTAAATACACAATATATTTATGATCTTTAAAAGTGACATTTTCTTATATCCATAATAAATATGGTATCTTTTATTACATAGAAGTCAATTAATAGAATGCATATCGATCGTGATACGAAACAGGCATTAGGGTATCCGATTAAAATCCAGAAGAATAATTTGACTGATTCAACTTTTACGACCTCTAACATCGTTTGTATGCCGATCTCTAAACTGCTACAACGATCACGCGGTTGTCCCTTTCTTAATCTTTATCTATTTAAACACAACTACCAACGCAAATTACTTTATTCTAATCCTTAGAACATCAACCACTTCATATCCATTCAATCTTTTAATCCAAATTTCAACTTACTTTGCTGTCTAACTTCAATAATGGTGGCCCAAGACAAGAGCAAAAGATGGTCGTTGTTAGGCAGGCTGAGGACGGCGGTGAAGAAGGTTACATTCCTCTTAAACCTCGATATAAACCGGTGGCATATTGTATCCTCCTTGATCGGTGGTCGTCGTGCTTTGAGCAGCCGGCGGCTGAGTTTCAATGAACGACTTGGGTTAACATCGATCGTCTCCTCCCCCGCACATGATGAATATTATAGCACCTGGGCTTCTCCATACACAGCGACTTCTTCTTCTCAGATATCACCGGAGCAAGGTGAGTTACAGCTACAAAAGACTCAAAGCTTTCCTTTGCAAAGAACCACAAGTTTCCCAGAAGAAGATGATATTGATAGGAGAGCTGAGATGTTTATAACGAATTTCAAACGACAATTACGGATGGAAAGACAAGTGTCTTTGGAGCTGAGGTACAGAAGGGACAATAGCTTTGAATCATCGAATACTATTTCACCATGATCATGAATTCATGATGGTTGCTTTTTTTTCTTTTTTCTTTTGGAAAGTAAATAATGAGTTTTTGGAGAACTTATAAACAATCGGTAATGGGTTAACAGTCGTTCTTGAGCAATTATTTTGGCCATGGGAATGACTGAGATCGATCAGATTGATGAATCAGCTTTAGAAGAAAGAGTCAACGATTTGATCACAAATATGGAGGTCATCAATTTGGTTATGAGATCTTCAATTGTTTGTATGATTGCTTTTTCCTTTTAAGTTTTTTTGATTCTTTTATTAAGTCGTGAAAGAGAGCAGTTCGAAAATAAAAAAGTTGTGAAAGGAGGAAAAAAGAATTGGGCTGCTTTGGTACATAGTCAGAGCAAAATTCTTTTGAGTTACATGCATCTATTTTGTATTATAGTTAGTTAATGCAACATTTTGTTTGTTGTCCTTTTTACTTTCTCATCTTTGTATAATTAGTGGTGTTGAAATGAAAATATCTGAAGGAAACGTTTAAGGTCTCAAATTGATCATTACTCTCCTGAGGCGGTCACATCGAGGGAATAATCCATGCAATGGCGGCCCTAGGGATGGTGTGGATGTATGATTGTACCGGCCTTCGATTGAGAACTTTTTAATATTATATTATTAAAAATTAAAAGAAAATAATAATAATAATAATATAATAATCAAATTGCATGTTATAAATCTTATTTGTATTATTAAAAATAAAAATTATGTTTGTTAAATATGTTATCAATATCAGTTGTAATTTGATACCGATATATAAATATTTAAACTACAAAACCAAAAACTAACTCAAATTTTGAAAGTATTTTGTTATAAGGTCAAAATTAAATTTATGATAGATGACATGATTTTAGTTTTGAGGGATACAACTACAATAAAATTATTAGTTTAATTGAATATATTAATAATATTTTACAAAAAAGATAGTTTAATTGAATATATTAATAATATTTTACAAAAAAGATATAAGATCTTAATTTAATTTTTACACAGGGTCTCGAAAATTTTAGAGCCGGATCATCAAGGCAAATTAATTTACTTAATAAGAACAAAATTACAAATAAATCAATATGTTGGGGATCGTACAATTACGTCTAGGATTTAACTGACTTAATACTCAATTTTAATATCGATGGAGGCATGAATCAGCCGATCATGTTATTGATCAACCATTTTATAACAAAATGTCAAATACAAGGGGTATAAATATGGATGAGCATTTAGACCAATCGGAACCGGAACCGAAACCCGATGAAACTGGTCGGGCTGTGACCAGAACGATATTATTGTGGATTTTTTGAAGCAAAACCGGTAGAACCGGCAAAAATCAGAACCGTATGTTGCTATTTCTCGAGGACCGGTTCCAACATTAAATGCATGACAAGAACCAGTAGAAACCGGGAACTAGTAGAACCGGCGGTCCGATTCGGTTCCTATTTTCAACTAAGTTTGGTTCTTGGGCTGGTTCCGATGCTCATCCCTAGGCGTAAATACCCATATAAAACTTAATTACAAGCAAGTAAATGTAGAAACTACCAACTAACTATGACTAATTGCAAAGGCAAACCTGAAGACACTCCAGATACTCATAAATATACACTAATGAACAACCTGTTGAATTAGGTGTGTATGTTGGGATTTTATTCAAAAATTA